TGTTGATTCCTTAACCTCGTACTGCGTAGATCTTAACAATTACAATACTAAATTCAACAGTAATTTATTAAGGATATACGTATTTAATAGCATAAATAATAATTCTGTTGCGTACTATAATAAAATTTCTCGTATCTCAATTTAAAGTACTGACAAGTTTTGATCAAGTTTCTGAATATTTTCGTTCATTTTTAAAAATTTCTCATAAATATTGTGTATTTGATTTAGAATCTTTCATTTTTTATTTTAATCACTTTGTGAAAAATGCGCGATTACAGCGCCTCAACGGTGAAATACGCAATATACTTTCAACGATTCTGGAACGTAATCGATATTCACGATCGATGTTTAAGCGGGAAGCATGGCGGAAAGAAGCATATCGTTTGTAAACAAAGTATTATCAAGACAAAGAAAGTATTATCCAGAAAAATCATCCAGAAAGAAGTGCTATCTAGAAGTTCTCAAGTAAAAGTTAAATCAATAGTTGTTAGAATTGTGTTTGTATTATGAATGTTTAAGAAAAAAACATACATTTTTGGCTTCAACTCGAGGTAAGATTTAACCAAACAGTCAGTTATTACACACAATCTCCAACAATCAAAGAAATAATGTTCTACAAACATTTAAACAGAAAATATCATGCTAAAAGTTATTTAAAATTTTATACCAAAAGATAATTTCAATTCTAACCAATACAAATATTGTGACCTTGTAACATGACTAACTAACTATACATAGACAAAATATCTTTCTATTGTAGCATTTTCTACTCATTTGTTGATTCTTTAACTTCATATTGTGTAAATTCTAATACTAAATTCAACAATAATTTATTAAAGATGTACGTATTTAGTAGCATAAATAATAATTTTGCTGCGTAATATAATAAAATTTCTCATGTCACCAAGATTTCTCATTTAAAATATTGACAAATTTTGATCAAGTTTGTGAATATTTTCGTTCTTTTAAGAATCTCTCATAAATATTGTGTATTTGATTTAGCTTTCATTTTTGATTCCAATCATTTCATGCGAAACGCGTGATTACAGCGCCACAACGGTGAAATACGCAAAATATTTCCTACGATTCTCGAACGCAATCGATATTTCCCACGATCGATTTTTAAACGGGAAGAATGGCGGAACGAAGCACATCTCATTTGTAAAGAAGGATACATTATCGAGAAGAATCATCCAGAAAAAAGTGTCATCTAGAAATTCTCAGGTAAAAATATAAATCAATAGCTGTTAGATTTGCGTCTGTGTTGTAAATTTTTGCATTAAAACTTGAATTTTTGGCTTCAACTGATCGAAATTTTTAGTCGAAGTAAAATTTAACCAAATAATTATTATACATAATTTTATTTTTTTATTTTCAGAAAATTTTTGTGATCGCGCACAATGTGTCCGTAAAATCAGTGCTTGTTATTGCTTGTTATGCATTAAATTAGATTATTAATTCATTTTAATTGTAATTCACGAAGTTAAAATCAGTGAGTTTCGCCGATTATTTCTTAAACGCGCGCATTGATAGTCTTTTATTTTTCTTTTTTTATATTTTTTCCTTATTCAACATTCGTTTTCGGTATATTAAAGTCAGTGTTCAAGAGGATAAGGCATCTCCAGGAGATCAAAGTCGCAAGTAATTTTGTATAATGTTATATTATACTTCGTATTGTAGTAGTGTTATGTTATACTTCAATTTACTCAAATTACTTAGAAATTTTTCAAATTTGACACAAGGTATAATGTTTGACGTTTTGTTATAGACGCATCAAATCAACTTTGTGGTATATTTTGAGGAAAATCCAACAATGGCTCCAAGAATGTAAGAAAATTTCGTTATTTCGAACTTAAGATACAGTTTTGCTTTTAAATACAAATTCTAATGTTTTATGTTTCGTCGTAGATGCTCTAGTCTTCAATTCTCCTTATCCTCTAAATCTTGTTACACATCGCGATTTTGACAGTTTGAATATATACAGTTATAATAATTACTTATAAAATTAAAATATATTCAGTATTGATGTTTTTAAAAGCAAAATATTCGTATGAATAGATAATCTGAAAACAATTATTATTAAAATGATTCCGTTTGAGCATTTCGTAGCAGAGGAGACAGATACCTTCCGATTTCGTTGCTATAAAAGATGCAGTTATTACTTATTGAATATACTGGTAATATATTTTATTATAGTAATTAATAATTAAAGTTGATGCAATAATTAATAATTTCCAACTTCATCTTTCCTTTTATAATATTTTATATTAAATGACTTAATTGAATTTTATAATTATGAATTTCAATGCAATTTGAAATATATAATAGATTAGAATTCTTTCCGTAGAAAATTATATGAAATTTTATGTGCAAGAAGATTCTTCAGGTAGTTTTCTGAATCAAAGCAACACTGCTTTCGCATTTTCGAAAATGTGCTTTGATGAAAAAGTCGCCTGAGATTGTTTTTATTAATATTTAATTTAGAGTCAACTGTTTGATTTTGATTGTTTTAGTCACTTTCTCAGATTTCATATCTTTTTCAATATATTCAATTCATTGTCTTTATTCTCTTGTAATTTCATCAATTTCTGAAAGAGTGGAATCACTACAGTTTGAAATAAAATAATGCAATAGTCCGTTAGATACAAATTACACAATTACTTTTATAGTTGAGGACTTTCAGGTTGAATTCCTTCCGTGTTGTCACGAACTCACGTGCCCAGGTACTACTTGGGTGGGTGAAAGACATTGGGCACGATATAGTTTATAATTTTATAAAAAATTTCTCAGCGACTGACAATGTGTTAGCGTGCACGACGTATTTTCCGCATATGTGTATATGATTAGTATGTATAATTGCGTCGTTATTGTTCCATTCATTGTAAATTGATATATTAAAAACATATATGCGTTGATTTGAAATAGAATTTATTATATAATAATATTCATTAAATATATTATATTATTAGTTATATTAAAATTATATTATATTATTAATTATACGATCAGTTATAATAATGATTCCAAGTCAACTTGCACACGTAATTTCTATAGAAATTATATACATAATTTATAGAAATTATAAATTATGTATATAAGTAATGTATGTGTAAATTATGTATATAAATTATAAATTATGTATGACAACTTGCACATGTATTTCTATAGAAATTATATACATAAGTTATTAATATTAGCTTATGCACGTAATTTCTATAGAAATTATATACATAAGTTATTAGCTGTAAATATAAACGTGTTTTAATCACGTTTTAGGTATTGCAATCGTCGCTAGCTATTGTCAGTCGATTTCAGGAAACTGGTACATAAATTAGAGTGTGAAAGTTATGTGTTAAATTCGAGTATTTGAGGCGTCCTGGGACGTCTTCTCTCTAGAGTAGGTCTGCGTCCGAGTGGTATGTGTGAGAATCGTGGGGTGAATGCGTTGATGTACCTATTTTGTCATTTTTTAAATATAGGGCGGTTGGTTAGGATAGCATAGGTAGCTTTCTGGTGTGCCTGTATTTAATTATAAATAGGTAGGGCCGGGCAGGTTGGCACAGTCTCTAGTCGCGAGTTCCCTTTTCGCGTGTCCAACCTGTTTCAGAAAATCTGATTTGAAAAATCGACAGTGAAATCGGTACAAATGGAGCATGCCATTTGTTTCTCGTTTTACTCTTCGATTTTTTGAATTTAGTATCGCGATTGCGGTCACGGATATGTCGCGAGTAAGTCCTGATACGAACATATATGTAGGTGTTGCTGAAGCACGCATATGCGAACGGACAACGATCTTTACGATCGATGGTCGTCCATCTGTATTGGGGTCAACTTTCGCGTTTATCTTTTTATTTCATCTTCGTAGATTATTTTTTGATTTGCGAATAGAAAGACTCGAGCTAGATGTAAGTTCCAGCGGGCATTGTGCTCGAAGGAAGAGAAGGCTAAAAGCCGAACAGGCCCGGTAAACTTGCACGAAGAAGGTCACAACAAATGGCCTCTCATCCTCTGAATCATTTAAACGATTCCAAAGCATGGAAAGTCATTCTCGTTACTATTTTATCACTATGCTCTTTTAGTATCTGTAGTTGTATTTTTTTTTTCTTCTCCATCATCATTCATCATCGTTTTGGGCAAATCGCGGTTTTTCTTGTTCTAGTATTGCGAAAGATTGATTACGGTTTAAATTAGAGTTGCGAAGAAATGGTAGTCGTTTGCTTTAGAGTTGCTTTAGAATTATGATTTCGCGATTGTTTTTTGCAATTTTGATTGTTAATTTTCATAATTGTCTTAGTGTTGTTGTAAATTTATCTTGCTTTCTGTTGCTTTTTAAAATATATTATAGAATCATTGCTTTCAATTAATTTTAGAATATTAAAATATTGATAGTAAGTTTGTCTTCGTACAGTAGCTTTTGTATATAATATTAAAATGTTCAAAGTAGGTTTTTCTTCATAAGTAGCTTTTATATTGTCAATAATAACTTTCATTCAATGTGATTTTGGAGTTAATGTTGTAATATTGTTCCTTTGCGATTTCCAATTTGTTTTCCTCTAATTGTTAGTGCTGCGATAATGAATGACCGCGTTTCTCGAAATAGCGTTGCGTTCACGAAATACTCAGGTTCTTCCACTGGATTTGTGGAAGGCTGTTCCTGCTCCTGGATCACCTGATGCAGCTGCAAGAGCTGTACAAAGGTGGTATCATTCATCAGCATGGTTGCACTGGATGCGTCGCAATTAGTGTTGCGTATTTCTAAACACGAGTGCATAGATTAATAGTGTTGCGTACTTACTTTCGGGAGTTTTAAACATGCACTCTTCGCGTTTGATTTTGAAAATTTTCTATTTTTTTTTTTTATATTTTCTTGTGCAATATTCGTTTTCGATATACAATCAGTGCTCAAGAAGGTATAGTATCTTTAGGAGATCAAGATTATAGTTTTATATATTGTACTTCAATTTACTAATTTTTCAAATTTATGAACAATATATAATACTTGACGTTTCGTTTACATATGCTTCACAGCAACAATTTTTTGGTTTATTTTGGGGGAAATCCGAAAGTAGCTCCAATATCAACAATGCCTCATTATTTCCAATTTAAGATTTTGCTTTGTTTTTGGCTACAAATTCTAATGTTCCATGTTGTGTTGTTACAGATCCTCTACAGTCTTCAGTTCCCCCTATCTAAAATCTTATGATGCTTTAAAAGCTAAGAATGTAAGTATTTTAACATATTTAGCGTTTAACTATAGTTAATTATATAACTGATACAATTATTAATTATATGGCAAGTAGTATGAGTTGATTGGTTGCGATCTCGGTTAGATATTTGTATAGATATACATAACCATTGGATTAATGAAAATTAAATAATATGTAATTTTAACATATGGATAACTAATTTGTAAGCGTATGGAAAATATTTAATCCAAATTTGTATATTTTTCGTACAAAAATATTTTAGAATGATCTAAGATTAATTTCTTCTACAATGGCTATATCTGTAAATGAGAGGATTCCGCTCTTTAATTTTTCTCATATTATATCGAACTTTCGGTAAAATTTATTTGATAGCTTCTTTAATATTTCGTTAATAACTTTGGAATTTTAATGTACTATATGAAAAAAAGCCATCATAATACCGTGGACGACATGGATATATCGTTTCGATATGTAGTAAAATGATTTCGGTTAGTTATTATCTTCACATTTCTGTATTAAACATTTGACAACACTGTAATAGGTTTCAAAAATCATGTTTCTGGCGCATTCACTACTTGACCAACTTCGATCGTTTTACTTGATGTAGTTCTCTAACTCACCGTTGTCTATGCGTAGAGTGCGCTGAAAAATCAGTGATTTTTTATTATGTCGGTATTTCAGATCACAAAATCCTGTAATATATGCTTGGTCTGTCAGATGAGACATTTAATCAATGATATTTTAACTGAATTTTAATTCAGGTTTGAAATTCTACAATTATGAGAATAATTTAATATGATAGTACATTACATTTTTAATGATAATATCGAATTTTTTTTTTTAATGAAATAGAATTGATTTCGGTGGTAGTAGTTCAAATTGCACCTCGGATATTGTTTCAAACGTAGTTCATGTACGCGTGTTTATTGATTTATTTCAATTTTTTTTACACAATTTCATATTCTTTCATTTAATATTCTTTCGTTTGTCTTCTAACAAGTGCAGTTTTATATTAAAGTCTAGTAGTATGATATATTTCTGTGAATTTGTGTGATTCGAGTCGAGTATGCTTGCGAAGCAAAAACGAACATCTCGTAAGGAAACTTTTTCTGGTCTGAAATATATTAAATACCATTATTTTATTTACATCAGTTATTTATACATCAGAAATACATTGCACTTATATCTAATTTAGAGGTATAAAACATTTTACGGCATCAAGTGAAATTTTCAAATTTTTCACGATCGAGGTTATGGTAAGTGATTGTTCTGATAAATTTTGATTTATAAAATTTAGAGATAATGAAGTTGAATAAATGGAAAACTATTCATAATAAAGTATAGAATAATTATTGTATGTCTACTGAATAGAATCGACCAAGACTTTCGATCAATTTGGTCGTTATTTTTGATATTGCTCGTTTGAACATAATACAGGCGGGAAATTTGAAAATCCTATTTATCTAAATACCCCTGTAACTTTGACATCTCATTAACTTTAATTGCCAATGTATATTCCTCTAACTGAAAAATTGTAATTGCAGACGTAATACATTAAAAATTAAATAAGTAAAAAAAAAAACAAATTTACATTTTTTATTTAAAATTATACTTAAAATAAATTTACAAGACTTAAAACAAATATTTGCTCGACTTCTTTGGTTGCTTTTTCATTGTTAATTTTTCTTTCACTTCTGTTCTGTTTGAACTTTGAATCTCATTGCGTAGAAAAATATATAAAATAAGTAGGAGGTACACAGGATAGTGGGATAAGTAAAGTAAATGTACAGAATAGGGTTGTGAATAACACAAAAGTTCGATTTAAGGATTTTACTCATCCTCTCCTTTATTACAAAACTGAGAAAAAAGAAAACTTTGCGAGAGTAACAAACTTTTGGCTTATGTGACTAGTTATAATACTCAGCGGCAATACTAAAATTAGTGCAATGTAAGTATATGTACATTTGTGTGATTAGATGTGGCGGGTCCGGTGAGGGTCTTAACACGAGATATCGAAGAAATCGAACTTAAAACAAAAGTATGCGGATAAGCGCGTTTTACAATGGAACTATGAAATTTCATGGTCTTGTATGTGATGTGATGTATTTTCAAGATTATTTGGAACATGTACAAAATGTTCGCATATTTCTCATACATTTCACTTCGTCTTGAAACAACATTCGTGTACAGAGTCTTGTTTCTCGAATAAAAGCAACAATTATTTTTCGAATACAACAATAAACGACATTAATATTTCATTTCCCGAGCTAATGCAACGCATGAAGGGAAAAAAGAAAGGCTCTTTGTCGCAAGTAACGCAGTGTTGCAACTGATCGTATCATAATTGCTTCAGAACAACTTTATCTTCGATGTCTCTGGTTTTCTTTGCACCAACCGCCAATTGTTCTTTTTTTTCCCGATAGACCTTTTCTTTTTTATACAATCGTTAAAACTCGTATCTTACATAGTGTAAAAATTTCTTGTTCTTTCTACGCGTGCGCGTGCATCATCGTCTTCGCCGTAAGAAGTTAACAACGAAGTTTCACCAATTTTCTTTCTCTTCGCATACGTGAAGTTATACTCGCGCGTTACTTTTTCACGTCATTCAGTCATTCAGACTCACTTCTTTCATTCATCCCGATACTCACACTTTCGCCTCTTTCTCTTCTTTCGCCAGGATAAAACGATAACTTAATTTATTTCGGGTTACAGGGCTACGGTTTTACATCGTTATCGAACATTGCTCGCCCAGAATTACTCATTAATTCTTCTTTGGAATATCTTTTGAATTTAGAATATTCGCCATTGAAATTATTTTTGCTTCGAGAATGTGATCATTCTAATTTGATTTTTATCAACGAAATATCGATTATTTAGCTCAATAATCGAAAAGTTTTCTAAAAAAGAAAAAAAAAAAAAAAGAGCTTGTAGGCCTATGACAGACACATATCCCTGCTCAAAAGTCTTAAGACAAATGCGAAACTGGTTTCAAAATTAATAAATGAAATAATACTTTCAATCAAGGAAAATTTAAAGTGGCAATGTATATTTTAATATTATAGGCATATTGTTAATACGTTAATAACGATCTTATTGTACAAACATACGAACAATTTAAGAATTAAAAATAAATACTGAAATATTGAAAGTAAAAGTAATCTCGAGATTTTTGAAAAGAACTGTACGAGCGTTCGTACCTCACGGTTATGAAACAAACCATCCTAGAAATTTTTAATTCTACTTTTCTCCCAACGTAGTATA